TCTCCCGTATCATCAACTCAGTGTTGTTTCGTGGCCGGCCATAGCCCCCTATTGGCCCAACACGTTTTGTGTGAATTGCCGACGTAGCGGCGAACGGAGAACTCCGGAATTCCGAAGACCCAACCCAGACGCGCGGTGACCTGCGCCACGTGGCGGCCCCCGACGGCCTAACTTTTTGGGACCGCCTCCACCGCGGAGGGATTTCCCCGCAAACCGTCGCCCACAGTTCCCCGGCCCCATCGGGCCTTGAGTCCCCTGCGCACGCGCCCCTTTTTCGCCCAATTGCAATCATATCCTTAAGACTCCCCCACTTCCCCTAGAAATCTCTCTTGGGACACCCCTTTTCGCACTTCCAGGCCCACATCCCACTCCGATCAAGAAGTCGCGCTGAGCGTGAGGTTGGGTGTCACACGTGCGGCCAAACGGAAATGGGTCCAACAGTCGACAAATTCGAATATTTGACCCGACCGAAGTTTCTATTCCCATCTGTGCTCCACGACACAAGACATCAGGACGGTGTTTATGGGATTCGAAAGTCTGCCATTTGCTGCACTTTTTTGGTTACCGTTTGCTGGAGGCGTACCGGCGTGGTGCAGTTACCGCCCTTCCCCACGTGTCGTTCATGGCCGACATCTTCCAAAGGCTGCCGCTGCTGTTCTTGGTCGTCATTACACTTGTCCTTCTCATCGTCTTCCACATCTGCATCCTCGGCAGGCTGCGTGGACGCACACGCAAGAAGCGTTTAGCTACGAAGGGCGTCATCATGGATGGCGGCAGGCGAAAAACAGGTCTTCAGTGGACCGATTCGCAATCCAAAGGTCATGCAGCGTCCCGGCATGCACTGCAAGGGCGTACGACCCGTCTGCATACGTGCACCTGCCAATGGCTGCCACCGCACGAACAACCTCTGCCCAACACGTCAGCTGGTGAGGCGGAGAAGTTTGGTCATGTACCGCGGTGCTGGGAAGGGGGTCCACCCAGGAATGGGCGGGGAGCCAGTTGTATGGGAATCGTGAGACGATGTCTCGGCAGTCCTTCACCGAACTGCTGGAAGACGGCATGCACGAGAGTGACATTTTAGCCACCGTGAATCTTTCATTCGGGCTGTGTAGCAGGAGCTCATCGGCCGCCTCACGTGCTGTCCTCGTCAACCCATACCCTAACGATGACGCAGGGCAAGTGATGCTAGTCGGCTGATCTGCAAAGGCTCCCTCTGGAGACTAGGTGCCATCAAATAAGACAAGGGAGCGTCTGAGAGTGCAGTCTCGACCGTCATCAGCAGCACGTGCTGCTGCGGGTCGTCCAAAGTGGATGCAGCCTCCATCGCCGTTGTCGGTAGGTGGCAGCAAGGGGAGCCGCCCGCCTGACTGAGGGCCGACAGATGAAGATTTTGTGGGCAGTGCTGGGGAGCGGGATGGGAGGCAGGTGTGGGCAGAACATCAGCAGCAAGTGCATCGAGAACGCGAGGAGTCCATAACGCGAGGGGTGCAGCGACTGCGCGTGCCGTAGGTGAACACAGAGAAGGTGCCGACGGTGGTGGACGTCAACGATTACGAGGACGCCGCATGGGACGAGGAACGACAAGACGACGACATGGGCGACGTTTGGTCGATGCAGAAGAAATCCATGCGTGGTCGGGGTCGGATCAGCAAGGCTTTTGCATGGACTGAGTGACGGCCAAAAATAGCGGCGCCTGCGGGGAGCGAGGGGGAAGGCGATGTGGAGGCCAAGGGCGAGTGAAACTTCTGGTCGGTCGACCACATGGTCGCCCTCATCAGGGCGAAGCAGGACCAGGATGCGCATTTGCAGGGGATGGGCCACGCATACGCTCGCATGAAGCCGAGGGAATGAAAGTGGGCGGATGTTCAAGAGAGATTGAAGAAGGTTGGCGTTGACTGGAGTCACAGGACAGCAGGCAAGTGCGGAAAAAAATGGGACAACTTGATGCAGCAGTTCAAGAAGGTGCACCTGTTCTAGGGGGAGTCTGGGAAACAAGACTTCTTTCAATTAATGGGGAAGGAGAGGTCAGCTCATGGCTTCGATTTCACTACAGATTGGGCCATGTATGAGCGCCATAGCTACACGGCGCACCCTTGTCTCGGCTCGTGCCACTGGCGATGGCAGACTGTTGGCTGTACTCTCCCTCTGCCACACACCCACGAGCACAGACATACACACTTTTGGCCGCACTCCCACGCATGCACACACACACAAACACAGATCTTTCCCCCCCTCTCTCTGACACATGCGCGCACACATACACACATGGGCAAACTTTGTCCCATCTGTCTGTCTGTGGCAGGGCATCGCCACACCACACGCGAAATCTGCAAAACGAGAATGAACTTCCCCCTAGAACATGAGTTGATATGGTATGGTGTCAGACAACGTGTGGAAACACACAAACGTGCGGAAACACACAGAGTTGCATGCATAGTCACCGAGATGACACGTAGATGCAGACCAGTAACAATCAATCAATGGTTCCACTTCACAATCCGGCAAACCCAAGAACCGCCGCATCCCACAGTCCAACCCGTATTGAAGTCCGCAGTCGTCACGGACGGAGTCAAAGACGGGACCAAAGAGACACAACCTATCTACCTCTACGTACATATAGAAAACATCAACGAAAAATCCTACTTCGTCCCACCTCCTCATAGGCCGGTTGACAAGAACTAGCAGCCCCTGGTTCCAAGTGTCGTCGATTACCTGGCCCACAACAGACCCAGGATGTACCCATGAAAACACAAGACTAGAACCAGTGGACCACGTTACCGGTAACAGGTTCGAGACTGCGCAGATAGCA